CTCCAACAGATCCGAAGCTATCAGACAAGGCGAATTGCCGTCGACTCCAGCGAGAGGAGAGAGGCTCGCCTAGCGATACTACGCAGGAATAAACAGCAGAGAACTGCCGCCGAGTCTGCCGAGGAGAGAGAGGGTCGACTACAGTTACTACGCAGGAATCAAGAGCAGAGAATTGCTGCCGAGTCCGAGCATGCCATAAACAACTTTTTTGCGCATGTACACAATCGTTAGATCGCTCCCGCTCGACAAAAATGCAGTGTATTCACCTACTAGTGCATGAGCTTCTATTATTGGCGAGCGGGAGCGAACGGCGTCATAGTACGTCGTCCAACTGCGCATGCGTTTGGATTAGACGCGCTTCGTTTACCGCTGCCTAGCTAGAGGTCGCGATCTAGCCAGCGACAAAACTCTCGTCCATTCGATGGCATTCGCTGTGCTGATCGAGGCTGTACCTCTTTCCAATCTTCGTGGTTCCAAGGTGCAAGTTGTAAATCGGCTATATAAGATGGCTTGTGCAGATATGTGCTCTCCTACAGTGTAATGATGCTGGTCGTAATCTATGCATCAATATACGTATCCGACCGGTAGTTAAACGTACGTCGACGCGGTTGTGTCTGCGCATGTTGATGCGCATATTTGCAAGGATTGTTGTGTAATGTCGGTACACCAAAAAACCAGCAAGTTCTCCCATATATCAATCTGTTCAAGCTCCTCTGTTGTTGATTCATTGCTGTAAAACGTTTTCAAAATCGATTGTAAGCAAATCAATTACGGAACAGATCCTTGCGAAATCAATTATTCACAAGCAATTCGTTCAATTTTGTGATCAATTGGAAGCCGATTATACGTTCGCAAAATCGATTACGAAACTATTAGGCTTAGTAAATCCATGGTAAACATTGAACTGTACGCCTTCCTGCCAACTCGGCAGCACAAGGGCTTTTCAATTCCTTATGTGTACACGAATAATTATACGTCAACGTAATACGCAAGAAGTCTAGCTATAAGTGTGGAATTTATGGGGTCTCTGCTTCTGTAGGACATAGCCTCTATAAGCTCAACTGAAGTCATAAATTGCATGAAGTAAAGAGCTACCAACTATTGATCACTCTTTCTGCTCGTTTGTTAGTTAGCTTGGACGTTAGCAATGCAAGAAGATACCCACAACTAAACAACAGAGTGTCATCTTAACACTGACCCCTCTCTGCATCTTTGTCCACAGTGACCAAAACTGATAAAAACACTTTGATATGTTAAAAAATGGGTAAATATATCAATGGTCTTTATGCCTTCTTCAATGGCCGAAATCTCTGTTATTATCTGCAAAACAATTAATTACATCATGTACACAAAATTCTGAAGAGAACAACTTGCTGTTAAGACACTGTATCAAGTAAAAGTTTCATTCCTTATTTTCAGATTTACCCCCAAAATCATTTAAAAACCAGCACATTTTCTCTAGAAAACAAGGTACATTCCAGCATATTATGCAGAAGATTTATAGTCAACTTTGGAAGTCGGGGTTCAGAAATTTGTGACTGTGTAACACTCTCAATACAACAGGGGTGACAAATTTGTGAACACTAAAAAAACATGGTGACAAATTGGTGAGCCCTATGCAAGTAAAAAATGCCCATCAATTGAAAGGTTCATAAATCTGTCATACAGTTGCTCAATTTTTTAGCATATAGCTATCTGCTAACTTTTTCAATTGCAAAATGACATGGAAGTTGCATGAAAATGAAACAAAATCTGAAAACGGAACTTTTACTTGAGACACAGTATTTACGAAATCTTGGGTGGAATATAAAATGATCACCCAGGAATAAAATTATTACTCATTGTTACCACAAGCGCCAGTGTAATAACACTAATGTAGGTGAAAACAACACATTTCCTTTTCTATTACACCTTGAGAGCTGCTGTCACTAAAGACACATTGTTAGCTGTTAGCTTACTACTAATGTAGGAGCATACCCAGCTAATACTCTCTGGTCTAGTTGTGACTGGATGTTGATGGAGTGCTGAAAAGGTTAAAATTTGGTTGTAACACATACAAACACATGCCATACAAACATACTGTTCGTGTTTGGCTTTCAGCTCCAGCTTTCTTGGCAAATGACCACTAATGCACTTTTCAACGTCCTTGTGGATCACGGTATGGTCATGATGCCACCTGAAGAAAATGAAAAGCACTAAAGTGCAAACCCTCGGCGAACTGCGCATGTGCGGTACCACTAATTGATGGGCTGGGCTTTTTATGCCTTTACTCGTGGTATCCCGCTAGTAGCTCGCGGAGAGTCTGGTACGGGCTAGCTACAGTAGTAAATAGCATGCGGGAGTCGATACATGCCCTTCGTTGTGACTTGTTGTGCCTTCAAGACACACAGAGCGAACGGACGCGGTCGAGGTAAGCCTGTGCTAATTTACAATTGGCTTGTTCACTTGGTTTTCACGCCATAACTTTAGAACACAGTAGTTTTACGAAAATCGCCTTTTTTTAAATCAACCCAGTGTAGCACTGAACCCGATCATATCGCTATTTACCTGATTTCGTGCGCACGGTGGCAGAAAACGTGGTAACAGACAGACAGACAGACACACTTACGGGACAACTACCGTAACCCTCGCTGCGCATGCGCGCCGAGGGTTAATAATTCGAGCATCAACACTGAACTCCCCAATGTCATCAACAAAGATGTATCAGTGAGTAAAGTCTGTACTGTATGTAGCTACAAGCAGGTGTTCAAAGAGCTGCTTTACCTAGCTGGCATTCTGCTTTTCTTGTTAACCCTTGGCGCGCATGCGCAGCGAGTGTTACGGTACTTGTTTGTCTGTCAGTCTGTCTGTCTGTTACCACGTTTTCTGCAACCACGCGTAACGAGACAACGAAGGAGCGATACCAAACGGTTCAGCGCTACTTATACCGGCTTGATTTTAAATTAGGCTATTTTGTTTGCACTAAAGTGCAAACACTCGGCGAACTGCGCATGCGCGGTAGCACTAATTGATGGGCTGGGCTCTGTATGTCTTTACTCGTGGTATCCCGCTAGTAGCTCGCGGAGAGTCTGAAACGGGCTAGGTATAGTAGTAGATAGCATGCTGGAGTCGATACATGCCCTTCGTTGTGACTTCTTGTTCCTACAAGATACACAGAGCGAGCGGACGCGGTCGAGGTATTTGCATATTGGCTTGTTCACCTGTTTTTCACGCCATAACTTTTGAACGCAGCAGTTATACGAAAATCGCCTTTTTTAAAATGAAGCCAGTGTAGCGACGAACCCGTTGGTATCGCAATTTAGTTATCTCGTTCCGCGTAGTCGCAGAAAACGTGGTAACAGACAGACGGACAGAACGACATAAGGACAGACACACTTACGAACCAAGTACTATAACCCTCTAGCGCATGCGCGCCGAGGGTTAACTAGCGAAAGATAAATCTAAACGCTGAGTATAGCCAACTGAGCTGGTATCCCGACTCTAACCAACCGCGGGTAATTATACCGATCCCTCCGCGCCTGCGTACGTTACACTGCCGCGCGCGTTCATGCGTATGCATCGAGCATGCGTTGACACTGAGCTCGTTTCAGTTGTCGTTCTCCCGTGGAAAGCTACCCGTACAATGGATGCCAACTCTTAGAAAAGGTCTGGGTTAGCGCAGATGAACGCTAGCCTCGCACACGTTTTACAGAGCCTTTTTTCTGTCTTACTTTCTTAATCATTATCTCCGACTTTTCAGGATACTTCTGATACTTGAGCCATTCATTCGTGATGGTGATATTCTCGGTCTTGGAACCAAATTGTTGTATGATTTATCTCATTTCCGCGTGATCACGGTTGTGTACTTGTGATTTGATGAGATGATGATGGTTTCTGTCGTTCTTTGATTTTCATGTTCCTCGGCTTTAGGACATCTTCTCTGTTTATTCTCATTTCAGGCCTGCTTTATCTGGGTCTTCTAAACATGTTCATTGGCCTAGAGTCACACACTCTGATTGTGACATTATTGCTAGAATAAGCTATATGGTGATTAACGCATACACATAGCCCAACCCACATGCGTGGTACCATGCTGTCGAGGGTTTTGCACTTTAGTGCTTTTCATTTGGAAAGAAATTGTATATAAAATTATACTACTCGATTGAACATTTGGCCAGTTATTATCAACACCTAAGCACCCACGGATTTGTGTACCTTCAAAGGGTGAAAGCAAGATTTCCACGAAATACCTGGATTTCTACTGGTTTTTTTCAGCTGCACTAATCGGCTTCCTTGTGGCTTTTTCTACAGTTTGGTTTAAGCATAGCATTCTATTGATGCCCGACTTAGCTTTCGCTATCCCGTAAAATGCAGGTATTTCGTGGAAATCTTGCTTTCATCCTTTGAAGGTACACGAATCAGTGAGTGTTTAGGTGTTGATAATAACTAGCCAAATGTTCAATAGAGTACTACATTAAGATGATGGGGAAAGGGGTGAGGATGTTTGTCCTTGAGAATATCTTCATAATGTGGAGCTGTTCATACCTTCCACTAGCCATTCATGCCCTAAGTCAGAAAGAGTACAAAGCTACGTAATTTCTCATGAGACAATCGACACCACATCATACCTAAATGTAGGAGAATTTTGCACATACAGCACACCATTACCATTTATACATGTCAATGAAATTCATGTAGGAGTAATTTGCTGATACTGTGAAACCTGGGGACCACCCTATAAACATGAGAGCTAAGGATTGCACAAGACGAAGCGATCAACCGCGACATTTGCATCAAAGTATTTCTTTGGCTCTTTCCAGAAAGCAGTTTTAGGCTATTCACATTAGGTTTTGCTCTTATCAAATTTGCCTTTTTACAAACAATATTTGTACTATCAAATGACAAGTAACCGGAGTTGGCAATTGACTTTTCACTTCTCAACAATTATCCCTTGTATATAGGCTACAAGAAACCATGACTGTAAGTTTTAACCCACGTACACAATAGTTACATAAGCTTACCTGTATCTTGTGCGGGTGCAGCGTGACCACCCAAACCACCCACAACTGTAGCCATCTGCGTAGGGCTCAGCATAGTAGCCGACAGACGATGTTGTTGCATAGCTCACTCCAAGATGTGCATGTCCTAAACAAAAGTATATCCATACACACATTGCTAATTGCCACATCTCTCAATGCATGCATGCCAATTAGCACATTTACATTAGCTGTATATCCATATACACACAATGCTAAATGCCACATCTCTCAATGCATGCATGCCAATTAGCATATTTACATTAGCTGTTTACCTGTCCATGTAAGGAAAGAACCTGGGATAATCCCTCTAAATGCCATTCTCATGCATCCATACATAGCCATCAGTGTTGAAGGATGAAACGCTAAACTACAGTGGCCGATAGGTACCATGCCAATTTCCATTCCGTCTTCCATTCCATTTTTCAATTTCCAGCGATGCGTTCCGAATGCTGTTCTCGACTTCATCACTTTGACTAGCTACTTTAAAATGCTGACTTCCACAAGACCCAACACAGCGCTGCAATAATTATGTCGTTGAGGCGCGCGCTGCGGTTCCCTGCCACAGCAATTCCGGCATTCATTAGGAGGCTAATTCCAACTGATTTTCTCATGTGCTCAATTCAAAAGCAGCTCATCGATTGGTCTTTGATGGTTGAAACATAGGATAACGCCAGTATGCGCGTGTAATGCACAGGCTAGGAAGAAGTTAAGGTTTTGAGCAAGTAGGAATGCTGGGCTAGGTAGAGCAAAGAGCGACATATTTATTATGCACGCTTACACTTTGGCTCTTTCCAGAAAGCAGTTTTAGGCTAATTCACATTAGGTTTTGCTCTTATCAAATTTGCCTCTTTACAAATTACACAGGATGCTTAGCTAAGTTAACGCGCCTTTGGCGCTTATTATCTACTACTTCAATCACAAGGAACACACATGACGGCGCTGCCATGAAATATCAATTCGTTTTACATTACATAGTTCACTCCAGTAGATTATTATACACCTTGCCAAATCTACTGCATAGTGTCTCAATTAGCACACTTAGCTAGAATAGCTGTTTACATGTCCATGTAAGGGAAAGAACCTGGGGTAATCTCTGTAAAGGCCTTTTTCAACATACATAGATATCTGAAAATGCAAAAACGTTCACACCGTAAGTACTTTTGTGGGAGTGAGGGAGAAAGTCACCCTATGTACGGTATTCTGCAGTTGAGATTAGTGTATGGGATGATGAAACACTGGATAGGCATTGCGACATCACTTTTGGGTAGCCTGACTACATCTTTGGTCTTTTTCTTCTCCTAGGAAAAAAGCGACTATAACCAGTGGCTGCGTCATACCTGGCTAGCTACCTGGAGACACAGCAATAAAGTAAGATACTCACCTGATCACACAGGCGATCATGGCATGGTGCACAACATGCAGCAATTGGCTACAGTTACCCAGGAGAGGGATAAGGATAGGAAGCATCTGTGCTCATGCCTGACAAGGTGTCTGGACATGTCAAAGCATAAACTTGCAGCCATTCAAAATGTCAGGACTGGTGGGTTTCATGCATATAACTCAGTACGGTAGTACTTAGTATCACTAAGTACGGTAGTACTTAGTATTACAAGTGGAAAAATTATTTCTCAAA